CCAGACTCCCACCCTCCTCATCCAGGAAGTACAGGCTGAGACAAGGACATGGCCCTGGAAAGGAACCCCACAGGGCACTGTGGCCAGCCTCAAGGAGAGAAGCAGGGCTGGGGAGATAGTTGGCAGTCCAAGCGCCTGCTTGACAAGCACAAGGACCCAGGTTCGCTCCCTGGTACTGCATGCCCTGCCGGCCCTTCCCACCATGCCAGGCCCTGAAACCGGGCATGGTGGCTTATGCCCGTAATCCCAGTGCTGGGAAGGCTGAAACAGGAGGATCAGTACAAGTCTGAGCTGCATAGTGAGACCCTGCACCAAACAACCAAATAATTTTTTTTTTTAAGAAAAAAGAGAAAGAGAAGAGAACAAAAGAAACACTGATTTCAGAGTGCATTTTAGAGGTATTGATGTGAGCACTGGGGGCCTGCTTGCCCTTCTGGGAATTGTATAAAATGTTGCCCGGGATCGTCTGTCTGAGGAATGGGAGGCTGGTGCACTTATCTATAGCCCCCGTCTCCAGTGCTTGGGGGCATCCCCAGATGTGGTAAGTATATCCCAGCCTCACATTTGCACTTCTGGTCATGCTTGTGCAAAGCCCAAGTCAACTCTTCATGTAAACCACCCCCCCAAAAAAAAAAAAAAAAACAAGGGCTGGCCAAATAGCTCAGTGGACTAAAGCGCCTGCTTAGGCAGAGCTCAGCGGCTGGCCGGGGTTCAATCCCCAGCCTGCCATGCTGGCCCACCTGCCCTGGGGTACGCTGAGGTGGTGACTGAGACTGGGCGTGGTGGCGCTCACCTGTAATCCCAGCACTTGGGAGGCTGAAAACAGGAGAATCATTACTAGTCCAATCTACGCAGTGGGACCCTGTAGACCCTGTACTAAATACATTGAAAAAAAAAAAACAAAAAACAAATGGTCAGAAAACAAAAGAAACTTGCAAGAGGGTATGCAAAGGGAATCCTTTTTAAAGTTCAAAGTTATAGTCATTGACATTGAAGAAATACAACTCAAAATGAAATAAATGCAAAGCAGAAGGTTAAATATCATGTGGCTACTCATATGTGAGAAACAAAGTATAAATAAAAAATGAAGTAAAAGATTCAAGAGTAAACAGAGATAAAGCTTTCCCATGTGGAGGGCGATCTAGAAATAAAAGCAGGAGGGATGGAAGGGAAGGGAAAAGGAAGTAAAATTGGTTAAGACATTGTACATGTACCGACGCCCCACGATGATGGATTCATTTATGTACCACAAACCTAGCCTAGGAAGGAAATGGTAGCACCCGCTCATCTCCCAGCACTTGGGAGGCTGAGGCAGGAGGATCATTGCGAGTTCAAGACCTGCCTGACTACAAAGTGAGCTCAAGGCCAGCCTGAGCTGCATAGTAAGACCCTGTCTCCAAAAGACAAGAAAAAAGAAAAAGACAAAAAAGGAACTATAAATCAAAAATCTCATCGTGGTACCATTTTATACCCAGTGAATTGTTATTTTTTTTAAAGAACAAAAACAAATGTTGGAGAGGAAATGGAGAAATTGAAACCCTTGGACGCTATTAGTCAGAATGCAGAATGGTACAAATGCTTTGGCAGGTCCTTAAAAAGAGAAGCAGAGGCTGTTGGGATAGCTCAGTAGAATAAGTGCCCGCCAGGCAAGTGCAAGGTCCTGAGTTCAATCCCCAGTATCACAGAAAAAAAGAGCGAGAGAAGCATATTTACTGTAGGACCCAGCAATTCCATTACTAGTATAATATACCCAAAAGAAGTGAAAAATGTATGTTCAGAGAAAGACCTGTACAAAAATGTTAATTGTAGCTTTGTTCATAATGTTATGGGTCAGGAGCCTAAGCCTAGCTCAGTCCTTTAAGTGGCTGCTTCCACAAAGCTGTCAGCCTCAGGTGGCTGGAGTTCGAACCTCACACCTCTCCCGCTGGCCAACGTGCCCTGAAGGCATGCAAGGAAAAAAAAAATCCTTATTCCATTGGGGGCCTGGCTCTAGCTCAGTTCTTTAAGTGGCTG